CAGGCACGCACACACAGGTACCCACGCACGCACGCACAGGTACCCACGCACGCACGCACAGGTACGCAGGCACGCACACACAGGTACCCACGCACGCATGCACGCACAGGTACGCAGGCACGTACGCACAGGTGGTACGCAGGCTTGCACGCGCGCACCCATGCTCAGAGTCACACACACGCAGGTACGTACGCGCGCATGCACACACCCACAGGTGTGCACTTAGACATGCATGCAGGCACGTTCAATGCCTGTACAGCTGCCCCCATCTTTCCCCATCAGGTAGCGCCATCTGTCTGACAATATGTGAATACATGACTTGTCTACACCACGCAGTGTGAATGCATCGAAGTAACCCAGTTCAGCTAGAAGAGTGGGCTGTGTGAGCAGCAATAGCCTGGCAGTGTTGGCTGCAGTCATGTATGGCAACTCATCGTTTAACATGAAATTCAGGTGTTTTTTTTTAACCGGCCCAGAGGGCGGGTAACAGCAATTTTTTATCAGCCCTCACCATAATTTACCAGCCCTCACAAATTTTGTTTGCTGTTTGAACCAGAAGGTACCTAAAATAAGACATGATAAATGATCATTAAAAAATGCTTGTCCGAAAAATGTTGTAGTGTGCGGACATCGCGTAGTAGCTGTTGAATAGACTATAATGCAGATCGTGAATGATGTCCGAAGTGTTTTTGTCAATGTCATGTTTCAAGCGTGAATTCTCGATTTCAAATTTGTAAAATTTTGATAAATTATGGCGTGATATCCTTGAGGTAAAACAGTAATGTAGCCTACTTGCTCATTAATGCTATAAATAAAAATGTACATACTCGCTAACACGGCTGAAACCACCGGCTCGGAGGGCCGGTGTTTTGCCAACGTTACTGGCCCTCCAAATAATTTGCCGGCATATGCTGGTGGGCCGGTGCTAATTTCGCACCCTGCCTGGCAGTTTTGGCTGCAGTCCTGTATGCGTACTCATCGTTTGATTGGCGCATAAGAGTTAAAGTGATTACGTCACCGTAAATAGTAAAAAAAAAGTTCGATGTGAACATACACTCGTGACACATACATAGCCCATAGCAAGCAATTAATGGCAGGAACACTAATATCAAATCGTCCAGGTTTTTTGGATTTTTAATTAGTTGAGAAACAATCTTATCAGGTAAGAATTTGACGATACGTTTAGTCCCGTTAGTTCTTACTTTTAATGTAACAAAATGGCAGCAAAAATTTTGCAAATTTTACCATAGAAAATTCGTGACGTAGTCAATTTAATGCTGGATCGTTATCGCTGCAGCGGCGTCATCGAGGAGGAGAGAAAGTTTGCCTTCGACGCGGCGTTGCTGGACAGCTTCAAGGGCAAGCTGCAGCCGAGCAAGGTCGAGCTGAACGACCTGACCGCAGACGACGTCAAGTCAAAGTATGTTGCAGAAGCCGTCGCCGCGCGCCGTCACATTTTAACTCGGGATTCGTTAGCGAGTGGGCGGGTAGCGATCGGCGGCCCGTTGGCAGACAAAATTAGTCTTAACATTTTTCCGTAGTGGCGTCGTACAGCAGACGACGTCAAGTCAAAGTAGGTTGCAGACGCAGCCGCCGCGCTTAAGCCTAGCGCAGACCTGGAACTTTTTGATGCAACTCGACAGCGAGTCTAGAATCGCCGTAAAAATTGCTGTGTAATGGCTATGTCTGCGGGAACGTGCAACTGCAACACGTAGCGATTCTGGTCGCTTGCGACGAGTTGCAAGATATCAAAACTGTTTTGATTTTGAGCGACTCGTCGCTCCCAATCGCTCCCAAATTGCTCTAGAATTGCTTCGAAATCGCATGTGTGCGCACACGCGCTGACACATCGAGCGATCGCTTGCGGTTGCAGGTTGCAGCGACGAGCAACCACAAATCGCAGGTGTGCGCTAGGCTTTACTCTTACCGTTGCATCTTAACTCGGGTTTTGTTAGCGAGTGAGCGACTCTCCGTCTCGACGCGAGCTCGCAGCGCCACCTGGTGGCCGTACTAACGAGGCGATTGTCGCGCACGCGTGCCACATGCGACTCTCCGTCTCGACGCGAGCTCGCAGTGCCACCTGGTGGCCGTACTAACGACGCGATTGTCGCAGGGAGTCGGAGCTCGCCGGAAGGCTGCTGCTAGTCGGCAAGTCGATCCGCAACAAGCAGGAACAGCTGGACAAGCAGCGTGTCGACCTCAGCTCCACGAAGCCACTAGTCTTCCAGGCCGACACGTGAGGGCTGCGCATGCCTTACTTTATCACTCGGATGTTCTTTTTAAAATTTTATCAGAAAAGCTGGCATTTCGTCACTTTGCGCTGGCTACGTATTGTCACATTGTGTCAGTTTAGCGGGCGAATCGGTAACTTTAACGTGAGTTCGAGGGACCCCCTCTCTGAAAAGATGAGGCTTGTCGTTTAATGTCCGTTTTTGCGTGTTACTTAATCTTGAAGATGATCTTGTTAAGATTCGATCAGAAGAGCTGGCATTTGGTCACTTTATGCTGACTACCACCCTGTCGCCGGCGACTGGGAGGGGAGGGGAGGGTAGGGGAGGACTGGGGAGGGGAGTGGAGGGAAGGGGGAGGGAGGAGTTGTATACCTGGCATTCCAGATTGCGTGAAAAAAAAGAAGCGGCGTTCTCGTTTGGACGTACGTTCGTCGACTTACGTAATGGTCTTTCTCGGAATTCTTCTTCGAATGTGTCTTTCTCCGTAGCAGGCGCAGCTGGAATCTAGTCTTCTGTAGAATGTCTTTTCGGGTGACGTATACGTGCGCATGTCCTTTCTCACGCTACCGGGGGCCAGTTTAACTAAGGTTAGACAGCGTAACAGAAAATGAATAAAATGAGAGAATGATAAAAAAGATTTCCTAACCTTTGTCCTCTGTCCTCGTTTCCCTCCGTTCTCTCAGCATCTGTCTGGAAACACTATTAGCACCCTAAAATGGAACCTTGTAAATCGACGGAAGTTATGCCCACCCGGTGGCGCCACCTCCACGAGCATACCATAGACTGACCCCTGCGCTTGCGTTTTTTCTCGCAGGCAAATGATGCGGCAGCGCGCGATAGACATGCTGCACGTCGACGTCAACAGTCTGCAGTGTCAGGAGGAGTGCCTGCTTAGTAAGCACACGCTCCTGCAGGTGGCGCTAGACAACCTTGGCTCGAAGGACACGCCATCCGCCATCGAATTCGACGACAACTCGTCCGACGGCTCGGCACTCAGCGTGAGTAGAGGCGTGCAGGCGCGCGTGCGCTCTCGCGGCGATGGCGAGGTGGCTCTAGCAGTTGGCGTGGGAGGGGTGGCATCTGTAGGCATGGACTCTGTAGATTGACACTTGCATAAGGGGATGGGGATGATTCTGGTTATCGGAAGAGCGATGCGGGAATGGCAAGTTTTCACTGGGGAATGGGGTAGTTTTGACCAAAGAAGGGTAGTACTTTTACTTCTACTCTATATTGGCCACCATCAACATTGGCGCAGCAGAGGCGCGAGTTAAAAGGTTAATTTTTGTTGTTGTTTAGAATTTTTACTTAAAAGCTGCAGTAGTGACAGAGGAGGGGCATTTGTGACAGGGAAGGGTAGTTTTGACAGGGCAATGCACAGTTTTGACTGGTGAAGTGGTAGGGGCAGTTTTGACCAGGAAAGGTGGATATTTGACCAGGGAAGGGGTATTTGTGACAGGGAACAGGCATATTTGACCAGGGAAGGGGTATTTGTGACAGGGAAGAGGCATATTTGACCAAGGAAGGGGTATTTGTGACAGGGAAGGTGCATATTTGACCAGGGAAGGGGTATTTGTGACAGGGAAGGACAGTAGTTAACAGGGAAGACACCGTTTTGGCCAGGGTTAGGGGTAAGTGTGATCCAGGAAGGCGTGAAACAGAGACCTGCTTGTCTGTCATTGAATGCCATGTGTTTGCAATGCATATCTGTCGACTTGACGTTTTGTTTAACATCTAATAACATAATATAACACATATAACACTGTATAACAACATATAACAAGTGTGCTGTTACTCTCATCAGCTTAACATCTTACTAATATTCTGCATCAGTAGCTGCGTTCACACGAGATTCACGGCCTCGCTGGTTCCGTACTTCGTACTTTGTGTCAGGCTGTATTATTATTAGTAGTTAGTAGCTAGTGTATATTCCTTATGCATTTCTAATTCCTCCCATAGTTCTCCGTGTCACCTCTGTCCAATCATCGATCATGTTTATGGAGGTTATAGTTAAAACACGAAACTGCTTGCACTGTAGTGCTGATGAACGTAGTAGGATGGCATTAATGATTATGGGCTTGTTTTACAAATTTTAGCTAAACTTTTTTTATCCAGTCTAATTTCCAATTTATCGAACCAGTAATACCAATTTCAACTCAAGTGGTTGAGATTGTAGTATTTTCAATTAATGAATAACGCAACTTGAGTCATGAAAAGTTTACTGCTATTGCTGTAATTCGATCGTCCCTGTAAATAATGAACGTATCGAAAGCTCACCTCCACTAATGTAATAACGGTGTTTTAATGTAACTCAATTTCAAAAAGTTGACAAACCTCCACACATCGGTTCCGCGGGACTCATAAAATTGTGTACGAAATCATATCCCAATGGAAACGATTCGGTCCGATATCGATATAATCTCCCAACTCCAGTCCCACCCGATTCCACCATGCCTCCCCACCACTCACACACACACGCACACGCACACGCACATGCGCACGCACACACACACCGCTGCGTATGCATGCATGCCCATCTCTTACTCATCGTCTGTGCTTGCTTCACTAACCGTGTGTGCGTGCATGCTTACATACGTCGCTCGTCGCGTCTATCTCTCCCCCCTCAGCAGCGGGCGTCGTCGCAGCAGGAGCACCAATACGGTGTCTTTGATGTGCAGGACGACTCGGGGCTGCTGCCGGCGACGCGCCGCCAGGACAACAAGAACAGCTTCGTGAGCACGCTGATGAAGACGCGTCTGCACAAGCGCTCGCCGTCGACGCCGCCCGACGTGCCGAGCCGCGACTTCCTCAACAGTTCGTCGACGTCCGACTACAGCGGCAGCTCGGGCGAGTTTTCTCCGGTGGGTGGTTGAGTGGTTCGTGTTAGTTCCAGTAACCGATCGGCGATCGAATCTAGCTAATAATTGCCATTACTTGGTAATAACTTGGATTTAATTATTTGGATTTAATTACTTGGATTTAATTGCATTTTATTTATTTGGATTTATTTTTATTGGGATCGTGAAAAGGACTCAGGATGACAACTTTGGGGGTCAAGGGTCAAAGGTCAAGATGTGTAAACGGAGGGGGAATATTTCCCCTTAACTCAAGGTATAGGAGGAAATACGGAATTGCGGCACAAATCTTAATGGCTCGACCTATGCTCTTAATATTCGGTGTATAGTGTGATGGGCAGGAAACCCATCACCAGTGCGAAATTGGAGGTCACAGGTTAAAGGGCAGTGGGGGAAAGGTCAGATATCAGAGATTTTCTGAGGACATGGCCTAAATGGACAGAGTAAAAAACTTTTTTGTTTTAGCACTGACCTACCATTTTTATCACTTTATTGAAAGGACCATGAAATGTGCTTTCCACTGATATGACGTGAGAAGAGTAAGTGTCTGATAACTCCCCCTCAAGAGGAGGGTTAAACATGGATTGCTGAACTGCCTCAATGACGTCACAGTGTTGTCATATTCATGGCACATCCATAATCTAGAAACCCAATAAGGTTGGATAGCCGAACGCGTACAGCACGGGTGTCAGGGCTGAAAGGTCGTTGGATCGAATCCCATCTGATTTTTTATTATTTACCTGTTTTCTGTATTTTTCTATTTTTATCCATTTAACAATTTTTCCCCAATTAACGCAAATATTTACATGATTTATTTACAATTAATTTTTTTTTTATAAATAATTTTGGGTTAGGGTCACAATGCACCATACAGGAACATAAAACTCCTGTAAAACAGGAGTTTCAGGCACGCGATTTGTATCAACCAATGGGATTTGGGAGGTATGCAGAATGCAGAAGGTTGCTGAAATGATGTATATGCAACTGCGTATCTGCATATCTGCGCCTAACAAAGGTGTCACTACGCACGACTTAATGTTACGTTTATAACCGTAGCAACAGACCTCAGATG